TTCTCACACTTGGTTTTTGTCTTGAAAAGGAATGGAATTCTAAGTTCAAAATAATGTCCCCTTACAATTTTGAAGTTATTATCTTCTGGAGTCTAATATTTTCGATGAGAAATCTGATGCTAGTTCAATTATTATTCTTTTATAGGAGAGCAGATTGTCCCTGGAAGCTAACCTTTTTATTTTTGATGTTCTGAAATGTCTTATTGGTATGTGGTTCCTTTTACCATTTTAGTTTGCTCAGTGCTAGGTATGTCCTACCAATCTGAGAACTTGTACTGATCTTTAGTTCCCTGAAATTTTTCTTCAATTATGTATTTGATATTTCTCTGCCTTTCCTCCATTTGTTGCTGTTTCTGGAATTCCTATTAGTCATATGATGGATCTATTGGTTTAATCCTCCATGTTTTTTCAATTTTTCCATGTTTTTGTCTGAATGCTCTAAGTTCTGGAGTATTTCAATTAAATCATCTCATCATTTTTTATTTTATCATATGTTATTTTCAATAGTCTTTCCTTATTCTCAGAATGTTACTCTTTCAGAGTATGCTGTTCTCTTAAACAGTATTTTCTTGACTACCTCTTAGGAAGCTTAATATTATTAGCTTATTATGAGTTTGTTTTGCTTCCTAAGCTGACTCTGAGTCTTCCTAGATAGTTGTTTTCCTTAGTTTATCATTTATGCTGTTGATTTTCTTCTTATCTCTGACAGTTTTTGATTCTTCATTCATTTTTAAGAATGGGGTTCTAGATAGATGTGAAGAAAGACAATATTGGGGAGGGGAATCTGAAAAAATTCAAGTGCAGTGGTTTCCTAAAGAGTTTTTAAATTTTGTATTCACCCTTCTTCTCATTTCTACCCTCTACTCTGCCAGACAGCTCCAAGCCTAGGGTCTCTCTGGGACTCCGTCAGGCAGATCAACTCTCTCTGAAGCCTTAGTCACCTGCAAATTCTAAGGACACTTTTTTTTAAGATTATTTATTTATTTATTTTTGTGAGCGAGAGAGAGAGAGAAAGAGAGAGAGAGAGCATGAGCAGGGGAAGGGGCAGATTGAGAAACAGACTCTACACTGAGCAGGGAGCCTGATGTGGGACTCGATCTCAGGACCCAGGGATCACATGGGATCATGACCTGAGCCGAAGGCAGACGCTTAACCAACTGAGCCACCCAGGTGCCTCAAGGAGTTGACACTTTCGTGATCTGTCTCATTTGTCAACAGGCTTCCATGTCTCTTTTGATCTTTCAGATATTTTTTTAAATACCTCTCTGTTTACAGTAGCTTTCCAAATCACTTTAGTATTAGAAATTGTTGCTCAACTATTGTTTTATTAAGGATTCAGGAGGAAGACTAAACAAATACTAATACTACTATCTTCTTAAACCACAAGTTCTATCTACTTTTGGCTCTGGCTCTGGATTTACTATTTTGATTATAATAGTAGCAAATACATTTTAATATCCTATAGAGCAATTTTTATATTACTATTCTTTTTCACCATTTTGTAACTTATTTTATGCAGTTATTCTTAAAATGATCGTTAGAACAATTTTTATTACATTCAAGAAAAAAATGGGGGGTGCCTGGGTGCTCAGTCTATTAAGCGTCTGCCTTTGGCTCAGGTCATTATCTCAAGATCCTGGGATCAAGCCCTGAGTTGGGCTCCCTGCTTAGAGGGGAGTGTGCTTCTCCCTTTCCCTCTTCCCTCACCCCCACCACTCATATACACATGCTTGCTCTCTCAAATAAAATCTTAAAAAATTTTTTTAAAAAAGGAGAATTTTCATTTTGATTATATTAAATTTACAGATAAATCTAGGGTATAGTCAGCATTTTTACAATACTGAATCTTCCCATCTAGGAGAATAGCTTGTCAATTTATTCAAATCTCATGTCCTTTAGTAAAATGTGATTTTCTACGTTCTGATCCTACACATTTCTTTTTTTTTTTTTAAAGATTTTATTTATTTATTTGACAGAGACACAGTGAGAGAGGGAACACAAGCAGGGAGAGTGGGAGAGGGAGAAGCAGGCTTCCCGCTGAGCAGGGAGCCCGATGCGGGTCTCGATCCCAGGACCCCGGGATCATGACCTGAGCCGAAGGCAGACGCTTAACGACTGAGCCACCCAGGCGCCCCTTACACATTTCAAGTTTACTTGTAGGAATTTCATATTGCTGTTATTATTTTAGCTTATGATTGCTTGATTTTGCAAATTTTTCCAAAAATCAGCCACTTTACTGAATTCTTTTTTCAGTTTTTTTTTTAAAGATTTTATTTATTTATTTATTTGACAGAGAGAGACCCAGCGAGAGAGGGAACACAAGCTGGGGGAGGGGGAGAGGGAGAATCAGGCTCCCTGCAGAGCAGGGAGCCTGATGCGGGGCTGGATCCCAGGACGCTGGGCTCATGACCTGAGCTGAAGGCAGACGCTTAACGACTGCTTAACGACTTTCAGTTCTAATAGTCTAATACTCTCGGATTTTTCCAGGTAATCATATTATCCACACATAATGTTAATTTTATATATCACCTCTTTTTCTTGTTTTAGTACATCATTGATTAGAATTTCAGAGACAGTGCTGATAACTATTTTAATGGTATTTGTGGCAGAGCTGCAAATCCCCTATCTTATCTTTAGTAATAGATGATCTGACCCCAACTTTTAGCAGGGCAGTTTTTCAGCTAGAGATTTGTTTTTCCAGCCTCCCTCGTAGCAAGGAGTGGACAAGTCACTAATTTTCACTACTATGCAGAAATGATACATAAACTTTCCTGTCATTCCTTTAGCAGGATATCCTGCTGAAAACATTTTAAACATTTAAAAATCTATTTTTCCCAAATTATTTGCCCACCAAACCCATTCTTCAAGAAATGACCATAAACATCCCACAAAATTCTAGTGTTGCAGGTACCAGGTTTAAGAAACACTAGCACTTTTTTCTTTTTTTTTTTAAGGGAGGTTTCTTTTTTCTTTTTTTTAAAGATTTTATTTTTTTTATTTATTTGACAGAGAGACAGACAGAGAGAGAGCACAAGCAGGGGGAGCAGTAGAGGGAGAGGGAGAAGCAGGCTCGCCACTGGTCAGGGAGCCCAATGCGGGGCTCGATCCCAGGACCCTGGGATCACGACCTGAGCAGAAGGCACTTAATGACTGAGCCACCCAGGTGCCCCAACACTAGCATTTTTCAAATATGCTGTTCAAGTTAAAAATGTACCTTCTACATCTGGTTTATTAATATACATTTTATTAGAAATGGACTTTGAATATTTTCCAGTGCCTTTTCAGATACTGAGCTTATCTCCTTAACCCAGAATTATGATTAATACAGATTTGTATTTTGAACTATCTTTGGATTTTAAAAATAAACTCTATTTGGTTTCAGTGAAATGTTCAATACCAAATTGATTTTGCCAACATCTAAAATGTCTGCACATATATTCACTAATGAACATCAAATACGAGCCAAGCACATAGAATGGTGAGTAACATGCACACTCTCCTCATGAAGCATACAGTGATTTTAAATGTTTTTTTAGGATTTTAAATGCTTTTAATGTTTTCTGTGCTAGCTTCACATTAGCTAGAACGTTTAAAAAGTTCTCCATCATGCTTTGAGTTTAAAGAATTAGCTCCTCAGAAATTTTTATGAATTCAAAGTTGTTTTTTCTTTTTTCTTTTAGTAATCTCCACAGCCAACGTGGGGCTTGAACCCATGACCCCAAGATCAAGAGTTGCCTGCTCCTAATGAATTTTTAACTCACCCATAACTCTGAGTGGGCTGGATGCCTTTTTATTTTATGGCATGGAATTCTGGCACCATCCTACTGTTCAGTCCTATCTATAGTTACTGACCTAATTCAGTTTTCTATCTTCTTTCAGTCATCTGTTTCCTTTGGAAAGTGATTATTTCATTTTGATATTAATATTTATTAGCAGCATGGAGTTGTATGAAGTATTTTAGTAATTTGTAAAGCTCCCTCTTATTTTTTTTGTAATTTTTAAAATTAAGTTCTATGCCCAATGTGGGGCTTGAACTCATAATCCAGAGATCAAGAGTTGCATGCTCTACAGACTGAGCCAGCCAGACACCCCAACCTCTCTTTTAAACTACCAAAAACCTTATTAGTGGCAATATTCCCTTTTCCTTTTTGACTTAAAGGAGATTTATAAAGTACTTTAAAAGGGTAAGTTTTCTAATTTTGTTTTTTGGGGGGCTATCCTTGAACTTCTAACTTTTAGACTTACACCATCATAGTAGTTTTACTTGTCCAAATTTTGCTCATCCTTCTAGGCCTAACATATAGGCCAAATCCTTTAAGAAGACTTTCTTCTGTCCTTTTGTGTTCTATCCCTTCCTTAAACTTATTATGTGTGTGTGTGTTATGTGTATGCATCTCCTTTATACATACACAATAGTGTTTGTTTATCGTCCCCCTTTCCCTGCCCGACACCCACATTCAGGCTATTTTATTCCTTTATAAGATTTACAGCTTAGTTCAGTGCTTTGTGGGTTTTCACAGCAAGATTCCATTCAATGCAACAAATATTTATTGAGCACCTATGCATCAGGCATTGTATTAGGCACTAGGAACAGCGTTAAATGAAAGATAAAATCCTACACCTCAAGAAAGCCTAGTAGAAATGATAAACAAGTAAACAATTTAATTACCCAAATGAGCTTCAAGAACTTAGTTTGCAACTTCAGACAACATAATGTGTGTAAGCAGCTCACAACACTGGAAAATAAAGGACATAAGAGAACAAATCCATTCAAGGAGGAAGAGGGGAGATATAGGCCGGTTAAGTACCGCTTCACCGTAAATAGCCTAGTAATTCAACCCCCTAATTATACAAATATAATCTACAGCCCCTGCCTTAGAATCACCTGGACAGTTTGTAAGGAAAAAAAGAGTGCGGATTCATACCTACTAAAATCAGAATGGGAGAAAGATACATTTAAATCTGCGTTTTAAACAAACTCCCTATGTACTCAGGCCATCCAAGGTTTTAGGATATAGCGAAGTAGGTGGCATGCCTTAACTGTATGCGTGTTGACACGCCCGAGGACCTCTTCCATCCTTGTCAAGGGGAGTGCTAACCTTCTTTCCTTTCATACAACAGAGCGAAGCCAAATTTGGCAGGCCTCATTCCCCAGCTACTCCCTCCTTCTAGCTGAGGAGGCTAACCCCGCAGCCATGCCTCTTCTCCCTTCCTTCCTTTCCCTTGGAGTTGTCCGTCTCGTCTCCGGTCACTCGCCTCAGGCTACAGGCCTCCTTGCGTGAGGCGAGATCCGACCACCTACCGCCCAATCTATCACGCAAACACCCAGACCCTCGCTCCGCAAAGGATTCGTGGAAACCGCGACAGGCCAATCTAAAGGGCGGGAGGAGGGGCAGCAGAAGCACAGGGAAGAGCGGTTTCTTTGATTGACGCGAAATATGCCCAATGAGAGCAGAGGACTAGTGACGTTTCCGTCTCAATGGCCAGGACGTTAGCAATGTTAACCAATCCGGCTCAGAAGTGTCTACCTTGTGGGAGGTCCTTGAGGCCGCTGAGGTCGTGAGTGTCTGTTGAACGGCTTGTGGAAGTCGTGCTGCCTTGGGTAGGGCGTTAAAGTCGTTCTTGAGAGGAACGTCTCTGTCCGAAGAGAAAATGAGTTTAGCTCTGAGGTCGGTAATGAGGAGGCCGCAAAGCTCTCCACACCCCGCAGCGGGCCCTAGGGCGGGTGTGTGTAGAAGGGAGGTAGTTGGGGCCGAGGCGAGGAAGGGGATGCAGTTTGGGACGAGGGAGAGGAGCCTCGGCCAACCTTCCCGGGCCCAGACCCCTCACCCTGGGGGCCGTGGTGTCTCGAAGGAGATGAGTCCCGTGCATTTCTGCTGAGGTGGTTAGGTTTAGCAGTGCGTTGGGCTTTGCACCACCAAAAAGACGGGTTATTTTAGATGCGAGGACGGAGTGAAATATCGCGATGTTTCTTCTCGCGGTGTTTCTGCGAGAAATCAGGCCAAGGAGCATACCTCCTTTCATTCAGCTCCGCCTTCCTGGTCCACGGCACCCCCTTAGCTGCTCTAATGCCATCATACTTAACTATAAATTTTGGAAATAACGTAAAACCCCTCCTTGATTTTATCCTGGGGCCCTGTTTTAAGGTATAACCCAAATGACTTTAACTGGTAATCTCTCTCTTAGGTTTTTCAAGTTTTTTGAGTTTCTTTACCTTTAATTCAATTCTAGTCTCTAACCCCCTGTCTGTTGCCCCAGCGCCATGTAGACGTTTTACCTTAAAAATAAGTAGTTATACCTCTCCAAACAGCTGCCTCGTTCGGCTAAGAGATTCCTTGCGTGGAATCAGTTGTAGGTCTGTGGTGGACTTCGCCGTCCAGAGAAAATGACCCCGGGAATGTCCAAGCTTGTGTGAAGTCAGGTCTCTTGTGAAAGAAAGATTTTCCTCAGCTTTATTTATTATACCTTTTCTGATCACTTTCTAATCATCTCTTTCCTTTGTTGTAGATTTTTAGAGAGCAAAACACGAGCAAATAGATAACGTTTTATTAAAATCAACCAAGCTTTCTTTACATTTTGAAGTTTTATGAAACTGTTTCAAAACGGAGTGTTTTTATACAGATGTTGCAGCCCCATTTGAAATTTTGGAACACTAAGATCAGTATCTCTTAAGACATTTCTGGCTTTGTAAATAGGATTTCCTTTAAAAAAATACCCGGGGTTTATGAGAAACTAAATCTAAATTTACAAGTGAGATTTACAAAACCATTGACTCTTCACTTTATATTATAGAAAATTAGCACAAATATACTTTTTTGGCATTTAATTTTTATGGTTTAGTCTATATTTAGACTTCAGTATTTTGGTTGATTTGTTAATATCAATGGAAGAAATTATAAATAAAGTGCCAAACTTAGAAATATGTAATCTAAATCACTTTTAACCTACAATGCCAAAAACTTTGTAAGTTGTTAAATTATATGCTTTATGGGTAGTAATTTTGATAACTTATAAATGCTATCAAAAGTAAACCAAATATATATATATATAAAAAAAAGTAAACCAAATATATAGTGATCATCAATTATGAATTTTCCTCTGATTTTTTTTAACACTATGTTGTAGAGTAATGTGAATAGTTATGTATGAGTGCCTTGGTTTTTTGTTGGGATTTCTGTCATGAAAGTAATGTTTTTTTATTCACAGTTCTTATTTCTTCCACATTAATATCATTGAGAATAAATACAAAGTCAGAAGGAAAGAAAGTTAGGTCCTCATTTCTTCTAATAACCTGTAACACTTTTCAGTTTTGGAAAGTGCAGATTTATAGCAGCTTAGACTATGGAGTGATCAAAGCTTTGACTCATGTAAGGAAAATTCATTTTTCTCCCAAATACTTCCTTTGTAGAAATTTTAAAAAGTATTCATTGGTTAATTTTTTTGTTGCATTTTGGAATCTTATTTTAATCATCTAGATGCACAGGAGAATAGGATTAAAGTAGACTGAATAGACATTTTTTCTTTTCATAGAAATGAGCTTGTAGTAGACAAAACAAAGAGGAAAAAAAGAAGAGAACTCTCTGAAGAACAGAAACAAGAAATTAAAGATGCTTTTGAACTATTTGACACAGACAAAGATGAAGCAATAGATTATCATGAATTAAAGGTAATAGGGTACTTCAAAATGTATATTTTTCTGTTAAAATTATTTGCATTTTTGATAGTTGGTTGCAGTACATTTCTAAAGTATTTTAACTAAACTGGTTGTGGAAATATGAAACCATTTTAGATGTTCACAGTTAAACGCTATAATAAAATTGAATAATACTCCTAATATCTTTTTACTTTCCTTTCACATTGTAAAGTGAATAGTATTTTAAATATAAAAATACATTACTATGGAGGGCCTTATTTTTCATTCACATAATAAAAGTAATTCATATTATAGGATTTAAACAGTTCTTACTGTATTCTTCCCACTGTTGGGTTTTTTTTTGTTTTTTTTTTGGATTTTTTGTTTTTTTTTGTTTTTGGTTTTGTTTTTTTTTTGGTGACTCATTCTTTTTTCACATTGTGAGAGTGTTATTTCTCTTTTAATTTGGACATGTTAGTAATACATTCTTCACATACTTTCTCTGGTGCAAACGATGTAAGTGATGTCTGATGTCGACACATGCTAATGGGGGAAAACTGTCAATCCTAGGACCTAGAATTATTTATAAAGATGCAAGAGTTTGTTTAGGGTAGTACAGATCTCACACTCAGCACAATAAGAAAGGCAACATTTTGGTAGCTCTTTAGCTCTCTTTTTTCCCACTGTTTTTTTTTTTTTTTCATTTATCCAGTTTTGATCAGTTCTTCCTCTATAATGTCTCTTCCATTTGTTAACCATTGTTATTATCTTGGTTTAGGATCTTATTTCATACCTGGATCTTCCGAAATGGTTTCTCCATTTCTAGTTCACTCTATATACTACCATTAGATTCATCTTTCTAAGATTCTTTCCTCATATTGTTCATTGTTCGTAAACCTTTAGTGGCTCCTCATTGTACACTGCATAAAGTTCAGATTCCTTTGGTTTTTATTGACTGCTCCCCACACTTTTACTACTACCTACTTTTCTCATTTGCTAACTGCTTGTTTCCATCTGAGCTCTTCCTGTTTCAGGTAAGGTAAGCTGCTCTGTTCACTGTCCTCAAGCCTATATATTATGGTATCTGTTTTAAAGCCAGTCATCCTTTTCTCAGTGCTCTTCTACTTTATTTTGTCCATACATCAGAGAACAAATGGAACCTTTCCAAGTAAGACTTCTTTAATCAGTATCATGTCTCTCCGTTTTTGTTAATAGTAACAAGATTTCTTCTTTCTTTAAACTCAGGGGCCTGGACTATTTATACTTAATAACTAATCATGTAGAGTCTCAGGATAACTCTTACTTTAATTCTTTTATCTCTTCTGTTGTATAAATTTTTAATATTTATGCTATGACTTTTTTTCATTTTGGTGGTTAATCGTTTGAGAACAAATAACTTGTTAAGATGATCTGTATAGTAAGTCAGTCCATTGTATAGTGTATTTTATAAACAACTGGTTGGTTCTATAAAAAAGGATATATAAATGAAAAAATTGCTGTTTAATTTCAGTAGTAGAGAAAAACTATCACTTTGATTTTTTTAGAGACATAAAACATGCAAAAGAATTAAATATTTTACTAATGTGCTGATATCCCTAAGTTGTAAAAATTTATTTAAGAATTGGAAGTCACTTCTTTCGAAAGAGTGGTTTATAATTTGCTTTTCCCTTTTAATCCAAAAGGTGGCAATGAGAGCTTTGGGGTTTGATGTAAAAAAAGCTGATGTACTGAAGATTCTTAAAGATTATGACAGAGAAGCCACAGGGAAAATCACCTTTGAAGATTTTAATGAAGTTGGTGTGTATTTTAATAAAGGTCTTTGTAATTAGCACTTGTTAGGAAATTATCCGTTAATATTAGTATTTTTTTAATTCTCTGGAATTTTGTTATTGAACATTGCTGTATAAGGTAGATATTATAATGGGGGTTTGGGGGCACTCTTTTCCCTTATTTTAAAGAAAAATAAGATTTACAGCCTCATTATGGGATTTATCATTTTGGCTTTTGTCCTGAAGATTCTAATCAAGGAACTATTATGTAGCTTTTTGTGGAAAGATGTCTTCCTAAGTAACCTGTGTTTATATTATGTGATAAAACTAAAAGGGTGATCAAAAAATTATTTTCTTAGAGTAAAACAGAAAATTCGGTATCCTTTTGTTTGGAAAATATTTCCTAAGACCATTCTGGTGTATGATTTTTGTTGGCAGAGTGGGAGAAGAGAAAACCTGTAGCATTTGGTATCTTTGACTGTAGAGGAAGTGCTTGCCTTTAGGTTGACAAAGCTTATGAGGGGCTACATATTCTGTATGACTTGATCTCAGTGAATAAAGTCATCTGTTTAAAGTTGAGGGTCAGGAGAGGATTGTAGTAAAGGAGGCATTTGGCAAACTCAAGCAGGAGAAAACATTTTAGAACAACCAACTAAGCATACTGTGTCGTGAGCTTAATATGATTGAATTTTCATATAGTTGATTATAGTGAATTAGTTATAGCATATGTCAGGCTTTTTTAGAATAGAAGATTCTGGAAGGCAAGGACTTTGCTATTATGATTTAAATATATTGCATAGGATATTATACACAGAATGTACATATATTCATAAAGTGCTTTTTTTAATTAAATTTTCTAAAGCAGTAATACCACCTTATATATGTCATGATATAAGCATATCAGAGTTATTTTTAGATATTTAAAAAATTTAGGAACAAATCCAGTTACACACACAAAACCTTTGTGTAAATATTCAGAAAGAAGCAATATAGAAAGCAAAAAGAAAGGGCAGTTTGGAAAAGATAGATTCATATCATTAAATCATTGGTTTTATTTTTTTAATCTGAAAACTCAAAATCAAGGTGAGGAAGAGGGAAATTAAAGGATAAACGTAAAAGAGAAAGCACGACACAGAAGATTCCCACCTTGTAAACTAGGAAATCACTGTTTAGAAAGGCAGCTCAACCCCTTTGGGGAGCATATTGTGTTGTTTTCTTCTAATCTGTAGGTTTATTTACTTGAGAGAGGGAGGGAGCCATCTTTATTCTTTTAGTCTTTCAGTATTGAAGCTCTTCTGTAGTTTATGATAAGTTGGACTAATCCAAGTTCTTATTTAGATTGTTGATTTATAGAAACGGGTGTTAAGGATATAGTGGTAATGGTACTGTTAGGAAAGAGCTACAATTCAGGCACATTTGGTACAATGTAGTGGTTTAGCATGGACATTTTGGAACCAGAATGCCTGGGTTCATATCTTGGTTTTGCCACTTACTAGCTGTTTAACTTGGTCATTTTACTTGTCTGTGTCTCATTTGCAGATATAAAATGGGGATAGTTGTACTGTCTTGTGGGTTCTTGGGAGGAATAAATAAGTTAATATGTAAAATGCTTACTAGAAGGGGGCCTAGCTATAGAAAGTACTATTAAGTATTTGTTATTATTACTTTAAAAAATTGTCTTTGTTTCACTTTGTTTTAATGCCTAGTAATGATTGTGTATGCATCACTGGAACATAAAATGTACAGTTTTCTGATTACTTTTTTTTCATAGTGGCAGGCTATTTTAGGCATTATATCATCCTTAATAATTTTATGCAACACATTATTTCACCTTAAGTAAATACAATTTTAAAATTGCGATTTTATTAGCAGTTGAAGCCAGAGTCCCATGTCATCTTCATCTTTTCCTGATCCTCCATCTTTTCTATGTTATTAACAGAGCACTTATACTGGGTTCTTTACAGAATAAACGGCCATGACTAAACTTCTGCTCTGACTTTCAAAGATCAAACTTTTGACCAGCTTAGCATACTTCAGCTATCCTCAGTACCAGTAGTCAAAAATGTATTACTGTTTAGAAATCAGTCAAGAACTATGTATTCTCTCCATTTGTTGATTATTTTTCAATAATAACTGAGCACAGATGAATGTATATTTTATACTTTGGAAAAAATAACTCCAAACCAGAACATTTGAGTCTTAGTTTTATGTATTATCTATTACTGTTGAAGGATATTGTTCTGCAGATATTTCTGGATGAAGTCTAACACTGAACCAGAATTTTCCCAATGTTAGAAAAAAATATTAAAATATATTTAATGTAAGTTAAGAATCTAGACAGCTTGAGGTTAGTGAGTAGTAACAAAGATGTTTTAGGAATTGCTCCTTTAAAGTAAGACCAAGATAAGTCAGATGTTTGTACTCCCTCTTTTATTGGCACAAATGAATTATTCCATTGCCTATTTAGAATAGAATATTCTATTACTGTTTTTGCTTTGCTTATTTAACAAACATTCCCTGAATTTTTTGGCATTAGGTACTTTGCGTTGAGGGAGGGGAATTAAAAGTTGCTAAAAGGTTCTTTCAAGGAGCTTACCATTTAAATGTAGGTAATAACAAGCTATAGTGTTCTGTGGTAAATTATAATTTTGTTTGGAGCAGAAGTTGGCAAACTACAGCCCTTAGGCTAAATTCAGCTGTTGCTTCCACACTGCCTCATCTTTTATGCTGCCTTTGTGCTGTCATGGCAGAGGAAGTAGTTTAGTCAGAGACCTTATACCCTCCACAAAGCCAAAAATATTTACTGTCTGGCCTTTAACAAAAACAAAGAGAATTGTCAATTCCTGGTCTAGAGCAATTGAAGAAGACTTTGCAGAGGGGATTTTTAATTTAGACCTTTTGGGATGTGAATAGGATTTCCTCCTAAAGAGAAGATTGTGGGAACGAGTAGAGAAAGACATTGCAGGCAGAGAAAACAGCAACAACAAAGAGTGGTATAGTAGAAGTATAGTATGTTTGGGAAACCAGGTAGTCTCCTGTTGTGGAGGTTAGGGAAATGCAAAGATAGGATTGGGCCAAATACATAGTCTTGCATCATGTGTAGTGCTTGGACTTCAGTTAGCAGGTGATCATTTTCAGTTTCTGAGGAAGAGAAGATGATATATTTTAGAAAGGTAACTCTATTGAGAGTATTAAAGATGGGTTGGAGGGAAGAGAGACTGCAGACAGGAAAAAAAACAGACTTCTATTATGCTGAGGGTGGTGAGAATGAAAAGAGATACATTTAAGAGTAAAAAAGGTAGTGTCCTCAGTACTCTGGGAATTAATCACTGGTTAGGTTTATGGGATTTAAAATGTTTAGACTTCAAATAGGGGAGATATCTGTTAATGGTGCTGTTATCTTTTTTGAGGTGGGGCATCAGCCACTATCTTGGTGATAGTAGGAGGAGTTTGGGTTCCACAATGTTGAGTTTAAAGTAACTTTTTTTTTTTTAAAGATTTTATTTATTTATTTGAGAGAGAGAGAGAGAGAAACCGCATGAGAGGGGAGAGGGTCAGAGGGGAGAAGCAGGCTCCCCGCTGAGCCGGGAGCCCGATGTGGGACTCGATCCCAGGACTCTGGGATCATGACCTGAGCTGAAGGCAGTCGCTTAACCAACTGAGCCACCCAGGCGCCCTAAAGTAACTTTTATTTTTGGATAGAAACCCCCAAAAGACAATGAGAAATACGGTTGAAGCTATATTTCTAGCAGTACTTTTAATGATTTTTGATAAACTTTTAATGTGATGTTTTTTAATGGGCTGTGTTCTTAACTGATTTTTATAATGTGTAAGGTCTAACTATTTTGAGGAAGTATATTTCTGGTAGTATGATTTTTTGAAAATAGAGTTACATGGACAGAAATTGAACCCACCTTAACTGTATGTTAGTTGACTTATTTTCATTGGGAAAAAAGTGTATTCCTTATAATTAAATTCTACTTTGTGGAATAGGATTAGAGCATGAAGGCATGGAGGAGAGTCACCATAAAGTTACAATGTTTTAGTTGTCCAAAATGATGGGTATTTATAATTCCCAAGAAAAGTTGTATTCTAAGGCAAAGTATTGATAAAAGATTATATATACACATAAGTCTGAAGTAACTAACACAATTAAAGCACTAGTGGGATAAGAATTTATACATCTTGGAGCCCCATCTGTTCCCCACATCACCCTGTTGCTTCTTTAAGTACATTAATACTCAGCAAGCTGCTTTTTTGGTTCACCTGTCATGTAAATTATTTAATTGGTGAAGAAAATTTCTTAACACTTTTTTTTTCCTTGTCCTGCTTTTTTGTTGGGACTAAATTCAAAATAAGTTGAGTATGAGCCATAGAGTTAAGCATGGTATTTTATTTTGGTGTTATGGCTGTATATATGCCAACTCCTTTTGATTGAATATTTATGAGCTTTGGTGATTTGCATACTTATAGTAATATACTTCAATTAGTTACTTGAAAGACTTTTTGGGTACAATTAATGGTTAATAGAAAACTACTAAATATGTATGTAGATGTTTTAACATTAGCTTAAATAGGTGCTTATCCTAAAAGCTTACTCAAACCAAACATGATGACATTACAGCACAACAATAATAATTTTTTGTGGGCTTGAACTGTATTTCTCTTTTTGGGTGCATTAAACATTCCAGTACTTTCCATCTACAAACATTTGTGCAAGTTTTTAAGATTCTGTAAACCTCACCAGGACTGAGTTATTTTTAATGGCACAGTGAAAGTCATAAATAATTTTTGTTGTAGTGGTAGACTAGCATGTGGAATTACTTCAGAGATGTTTACTTAGTTATTTTCAGAATTTGATCTAGTAACTTAAAAAAATTTATACCACAGATTTTTACTTTAATTTATGTTATTGTGGCTATTGAATAAAGACTGCAAATATTGAAAATATTGTTTACTATTGTTATATATTATTACATTTAGCCTATTAAAATATATAATTTATATTGAGGTCTGGTATTTCTCACTTTTAGTTGTCTGAGAGTTATTATCTTGCTGAACAAAATGGGCATGACTTTAGAGAGATCTTTCCAGAACTTTTCTTTTTTTGGGGGGGGGTGGGTATGGAAGCTTTCTTACTGTAATCATGTTCAGTCCTTTTGGTAACTGCTTTTCATATTTTGGAAAACCAAGAGTTTCCTCAAATCATGAAGATATCAGCAGAATTTTCATCTGTGTGACATTGTGTCTTTATCAATGATGGCAGTGCATTTTATTAATTTGTCATGATTTTTGTGTCTTTAAATTAGATTTAACTTGAGGAACAATAATGTTACTATTAAGTTTAGACATCAGACATCTTTTATCTAATTAGTCTTAATTGCTTTTTTGGTATATCATATCTACAACTAAGTTACAAACTCCTAGACTTCTGTGTTTACTGTCAGTGGAGCATAGTGCAATTCTTAACAATAGTAGACCTTAAATAAATATGGTATATAATCCTTTTTATTTTGCCTCTGTGTGAGATAGTTTTGCATACTCTTATAATGGGATGAATTGTTGATAACAAAGATTAAATTTTAAAATACGGATTTGATTTTTGTAATTTCAGGTTTATCATTTTGGGTTTTGGGGCTCTGATTTGGCAGTATTATGAAACTAAATGTTGAAAGATTCACAACTTTAATTCTCATCTAACACTTGTTGATTTCACAGATGGATGCATTTGTGATTTTTATAAAGTGTTTTTAAAATTTTTAAACTTTCTTTTAACTATAGTGACAGACTGGATATTGGAAAGAGATCCACATGAAGAAATATTAAAGGCATTTAAACTATTTGATGATGATGATTCAGGTAAAATAAGCTTGAGGAATTTGCGACGTGTTGCCAGAGAATTGGGTGAAAACATGAGTGATGAAGAACTTCGGGCTATGATAGAAGAATTTGATAAAGATGGTGATGGAGAAAGTAAGTTTTGAGTAAAACACATATTCCAGGTATTAGCCCTAATGTATGCATACAGTAAATTTTTCTAAAATCAAATGATTTTCAAGACCCATTGCAGACTCTCTCTGTTTGGTATAATTGTTGTTCATCCTGTCATGGGCTTTTTGCCTAAACATTTCACGTAATTTAATTCAGAATGATGCAGATCTTTTAAAACCAACTATACTGTTTGTAACGTGACGTTCCACACTTCCAAGAAGGTACTTTACTTTTCTTTGAGGAGGAAGAATCACCAAAATTTCAGCTACTCAGTAAAATATCAGCTTTTATTGCTTTCTTCCTTAACCTACATGTACTTCTAAACTGTAACTAAGTTCTATTGGTTCTACCCTTTAAATGTTTTGAATCTTTTTTTTATATCTTTATTTACTGCTGCTGCCCTAGTTCAGGCCCTAATTTCTTTGTAGGAATGTTATCATAGCCTCATTCATTATTTCCTTGAATGCCTGCTGGATACCGTGCCTTGTGTGCTAACTGGTGCTACACAATGAAGAAGGCAGATGTGGTCTCTTTAGCTTCCTCATTGCCCTCTATGCCTATGAGCCTCTACCCTCTAATTTAGTCTGTTGATAATTCTTTTCCTAAAGTACAAGTTTTATGATGTCATTCCCCTCTTCAAATGCTGAATGATTCTTCAGTGCCTACAGAGTAAATATCAAAGCTTTCTAAGATATGTTCTGCTCTAACTATCTTCCACTTTTCTGTTTTAACTTTCACCTCCCATACATACATACCTTGTCCAAATACACTATCCTGAAAACACTTTTTTATGCTGTGCCTTTTTCATCATGCCATTCCTTAAAGTTCTAGAATGTTCTAATTGCCAGTTTCTGTCTGCTAATATGTTAGTCTTTCTCTCTGGTACAGTTTTTTTTTTTTTTTTTTTTTTTAAGATTTTATTTATTTGTGAGAGAATGAGAGCAGAAGCAGGGAGGGGGGAGAGGGAGAGGGAGAGGGAGAAGCAGACTCCCCTGCTGAGCAGGGAGCCTGATGTGGGGCTCAATCCCAGGACCACAGGATCATGACTTGAGTTGAAGGCAGATGCTTATCCAGTCGAGCCACCCAGTTGTCCCTCTCTGGTACATTTTAAACTCCCATCTTTTTCTCAGAAGCCTTCCCTAGTGGTCTCTGATGAATTATGAGATCTCCATTTAGAGGAACAAAATACTTTGACATTTTTATACAATGCCTTCTGTTAGTTACATACATGTGTATCTCTCCAGTATATTTTAAGTCCGTTAAGAGCAGTATGGAATCATAGCATGAAAGGCCTAAGGCTTTGGAATCCTACAGATCTGGATTTGAATTGAATCTCTACCACTTACGTAGTTGCTGTGTAATCTTGTGCAAGTTTTCAATGTTTTCTGAGTCTTGGTTTCCCATTTATTAAAATGAGAAGGGAGATACCTTCCAGGATGGTTGTAAGTATTAAAGGAAGATATTTGAAGGTGCTTAGCATTAAATGGAAGCTTGTTTTCCTTTTTTTGTATCTTATCTTTATATTCCCCTGCATTTTCTTGAACATGAGTGCTCTGATGTTTATTGACTTAAAGCCCTAAGCAGGAGTGTGTGTTACAGTAGATATATGTTGATACAGTATCAACTATACATATGTACATAAATATATACATAATATATATATTACCGGAAATATTGGAAGTACTGGTATGCTTTAATAAGGAGGTAAGACAGTAGCAACTAGCTATTAGTTCAGGTTTGTAGATTGTCCTTTAAATTGTGCATTGTTATACTTTCTCATTATATTTATGTAAATATTATTTGAACATTATGAACTTTTTAATACTAGTTCTTTGAAGGGATTTATTTATATTTTAAAACAAAGATGATTAAAACTTGAGGAAATTTAAATGATTTCTTGAGCTCACACTCTAATATTTGGATTTAGTATCTACTGCCTTCATATTTTAAAAATTTTTGTGTCTTCCCCAGCTATTGGCTGTTACCCCAAACTAGCTTTAAAGCAGCTCCGTTCTGTAAGGGTACTATCTTCAATGGCATAGAGAATCTTGATATATCTATTTTTTAAATCTTTAGTAATGGCTACTACATGTGTCAAAAGATAGTTATTTTCTTTCCTGTCCTAGGCACATGCAAGTTAGATTTTGGTTATTAGCTTCATTTGACACTAGAAGAAAATATCAATTAGGAAGCTGCCTCTTAAATTCAAACTTGATGTAAAACTTTGCCTAGAAAATGTGTCCATTTCTTGATCCCTTGTTAGTCTGCTCTGTTTGCTGCTTTTTAATCTCAGAGTTCATACCTGTGCTCTATTGCTTGAAGATTTTAGTGCATCCTTAAAACATTTCTTTGGTTCTTAATGCTTGCTTTACTTTAAGTCACCATACAACTGTTGCTTGAGCATCCTACTGTCATTTATTCAAATGACTAGTTAGGTAAGTAATATTTTTTCTATTTTTTCTAAGTGATTGATTACAAATAAAATACAGTGATACATAGTCTTTTATTGTTAAGATTTGTCTTTTTTGTTGGGGGGGAAGGGTTTGTTCTTATATTAAATTCATCTAATCTGGTAGTTTCCAATTTGAGATGTGAGTTTCTGGGAGCGGGGGGCCTTCTGAAGTATTGCATGCAGTCTGGGTATATGCATCAAATATTGTCTATAGACCATATGAATAATAGTATTGCACATGCATACATATACTGCTCTTACTTATATCTCTAAATGCTCTTGCAATTGATAAAAATACTTATTATTCAGAATTCATAGTAGCTCTTTGACATTAATTTATTTCTCAAACAAGGCATGCTAAGTATGACTCTTACTATGCCAAGTCCAGAAATTATTGTTGAAAGGCATTTTCATATTCAGAAACAATGAGAACTATAATACATTTAGTCTGGCTTTGGGTACTGCGTTTACTTATATGGGTCTCTGCAGCTGTATGAAAAACTGCCCATTTTTGAGAAAATATAAGTTACATTTTATAATAATTTGTTTATTTGGATTCTTTTGGCTGCAGTTTTGTTTGATGTAACCTGTTTTCTTTGTATATGTTAAACTAGTAAAGATCATAATACTTGCTGTCTTTTATGTGGACTTTAGTAATTCTGTTCTTTATGAATTTTTCACACTTTAGTATTTAGGAGCAATGAAAAAAAATTTTTTTTAAAGATTTTGTCAGAGAGAGAGAGCACAAGCAGGGGGATCAGAAGGCAGAGGGAGAAGCAGGCTCCCCACTGAGCAAGGAGCCTGATGCAGGACTTGATCCCAGGACCCTGGGATCATGACCTGAGCCAAAGGCAGTCGCCCAACCGATTGAGCCACCCAGGCATCCCTGAAAAAAAAAAAGTTTTTTAATTGTGTATATAGAATAATAAATATGGTAAAGGAGGAGTTAAAGAAAAAAGATATAATGCAAAATATAACTAGAGCTGTGGTAATGATATCAAAAGAATCCCTTCCCCATTATTGCTCCCAAGATATATACAACACAGTAAATCTTTTTAGAAAAATAAAAGCAACATTTAAAAACCCAAAGTGTAAATAAAATCTTTAAAAAAGGTGGGGGGGCGCCTGGGGGGCTCAGTCAGTTAAGCATCTGCCTTTAGCTCAGGTCATGATCCCAGGGTCCTGGGATTGAGCCCTGCATCGGGCTCCCTGGGAGTCTGCTGCTCCCTCTCCATCTGCCCCCCAACCACCTGTGTGTGCCCACACGCACACGCTCTCTCTCTCTCTAGCAAATAAAGCTTTAAAAAAAATAAAAACCCAAAGGGGAACATCTTTAAATAATGATGAGTATTAACACTTATTTAGTAGTTATAGTAGTTAATATGTTAGATTCTGGCTTAGCATGTTACATTGTGTATTATGTTATTTAATTTTTCATAATAGCTTTTGTGAAGTAACAGTATTATCTCTATTAATGCACAGAATAGGTGCATCTATGTAAGTGAGGAAACTAAAGCTCAGAGATTAATAACCTGTCCCTACTTTTATCCCACTGTTTTGCCTTTTAGGCTAGAAAGTAAAATATTAATTAGGTTTCTATGTTTATGGAGTTTTAAAAATTACATGCTATTATAATATAAAATATTCAATACTCAGTTTTCAATAAAATAGTCAATTGTCTCTTCAGATGCTAAAATTTGTTTCCCCCCCCCACCAAAGCCAGATGGTCTCTAAGGTATTTAATCTACCTAATTTCTCTACATTCTTATTTTTTCCCTTAATTTTATTTATTTATTTGAGAGAATGTGAGCCATGAGTGGTAGGGAGGGGCAGAGGGAGAGGGAGAAGCAGACTCCCCCTGAGCAGGGAGCCTGACTCGGGACTTAATCCCAGGACCCTGAGATATGACCTGAGCCGAAGGCAGATGCTTAATGACTGAGCCACCCACGCGCCTCAATTTCTCTAAATTCTTTATTTAAAAGACATGTAATAAAATTTACCCTATGAAATGATTGATTTATGAAAATTTTGTTTAAAAAGGCAGTGTAGAGGAGAATGAAATGTTGTATTTCTTTGATTCAATAAATATTTTATCAGATGCTTATTTAAAGGTAGGCATTGTGCTACATTTATTAGATATAGAAACTTGATAGAAGATATTGATAGAGAAGGAAATGTACAAAGGCATCAGATTTTCTTAATTTTCTGAAAGGCTCACTGGTACTAGAGGAGCTAATTTACTTTCCTTAGCCACTTTCTTCCCTTTAGCTTTCCACTTTTTTGGACTTAAGTATTCTGTTTTTAGGCTACGGAAATTATGGAATAGTTTAAAATATATTTAAATGCTATAATACTTTAAAGTGTTCATATGTAAATATAACAAAAATTAACTCCTGTGGTTTTAAAAACTATATATGAAACTTAATTTTGAAATTTGAGTGTTGAAATTTTACAGATTGAGAGAAAAAGTTCTAGATCTTTAAGGAACAAATCATACAAATCATATTTTACAGATTTCGAGTAATTTAAT